TGTGTGCGACACTCAATTGTGGGTGAGGCGCGACTCAATCTTGTTGAAAAGAGATGATACAATTGCATAGCCATCTGTGAACCTGTTTCCCTCAATGTTTTGTTAACCCCAATGGCAAACTTTCACATTACTTAATTAGGCACGACGTTAATTTGTTTTTTTTTTTTTTACATCGATCCTGAAATTAAACCGGTCTTGCGCCCGCCTTTAACACATTTCGTTGAGGCCGGGTCAAATTATGTGAAGCAAGCCTTCTCTGTCGCCAAATTTGATCGCAACTCCTAACTAAAAAAACAATCGAACAAGCGTTCAGAAAAGCTTAGTTACACAACCATGCATAAAAAAGTCAAGTCAAACCGTTTTGTTTCTGAACATTATTAACCTGCGTGGGGATTTTGCTCGCCTCTGACGCCTGGAAACGTAAGTACTGCGTCGCAACATTATGGAGTTTTTTTTCTTTTCAAATTTTCCCATAAACCAAGGGTCAGACTGTAGTCACAGCAGTCGTTTGAAGTCGTCACATAACGCTCGCTCCTGAAGCGTTGCGTGACAACTTCAAACGACGAAGGGCAATGGGCTCTTGAATCAAATTTATAAGTACGAACCAAGTTGGGATCATTCGGTAGTCGGATCATTCGCTGCTCGCTTCCTCTATATTGTTGACTACACTCAAGAGCAGTATAAGTCAAATAAGAGTTTCTACCAAGATCTTGCAGAGATTTCTGTATACAGAGTCATTCAAATTATCAAAAAACACTTATTGCACCCAACAGTGATCAGACAAATAGTGATTACTTAAGATTTTATTGCTAAAATTTTACTTTCGTAAATCTATGGCTAAATTAATGAAAACTTATAGCAGTAACACACTGGTTTCTGGTTTCCGGAATGGAGTGAAGAAATTCCAGAAGTGTGGGAGTGTCAAACCCCGAGGACCTGGGCACTAATCGCGTAATTTGCCGGAAACTTTCGAGCTCACGTCGCCAAACTTTGACACGATAGTCGCAAAAATGTCCGCCAAATGAGCCTTTAGATCAGACTACTTTCCAAATCCAGCCATCATGCCGGACAGAATAACTGTCAGAAGCTTCCTAAACGAAGCCAGGGAGGACGTGTCCTCGCCAACAACCTCGAATTTCATGTCTACGATGAACGCTTGCCGGAACACCGTAGGAGCGCTGGAGGAGGTGAGATACACAGTGTAATATTTACGAGATGGACCACAATTCGCTTTCGTTATCGCTGATTTCTTATTTCCTTGAATGAAATACACCTGTTAATTAAAGAGGGAGTGATATACCGTTGTTAGCTGCGGTAATAACCGAGAGTTAGCTGTTTATAATAGCTTTGGGTCTAATTTGAAGTAATCGATATTCTATTATCGCTAACTGTTTTTGAAAACAATTCATGGTTTTCTGGATCAATCGTGGCGAGAAAACTGCAATGTTTTACTTCGGATTAATCGATATCCGCTGTGTCATTTCTTAAAGCAACCACACGTTACTGTACTGTTTTAGCTGTAGTTATTATGTCGCTTTATGTGAATAACTCCTAGGACTGTCAAATCGTGTTTATAAATTAGCTTTGAGTTTATACTTCAGTTGTGATGACGGTATGTGTTATTAAAACCTTTGTATATCATTTGCTATTGTCTAAAATTTCCATTGCTATTTGATTCAATGACATCGTTGTATTATTTTCTAACGTAAAGGTCTCGATATGGTTATTTACAACATGTAATAGTGGCTTGATTAGAAATTGATTAGTTTGAGGAAGCCACAACTATTGACATCAGAGCTGTCACTTTCATTGTCTTCTAGTTCTCAAAACACAAAAATAAAAATCTGCTGCCTGCTCAGTAAAGTACTTAATAAATGCCAGTGCAATTCACACTGTTCTCGAACTTTCTTTAACTGAACTCCATATTTTAGTAACAGTTTAACTGTTTTTCTCCCCTTATGTTATCATAACTTCAAAATTCTTGAATCTGATTGGCTATCAGGGGCTTTATTTTAGCATTTACTGGACATGCAGTTCATGTGTCACATCTGGTGTTATTGTACAAATTATTCGTATCATTTGCACACACTGTTGTAGGACAGTTGCACTTGACTGGATTCCCTTTCTTGTCCCGACATTACTAATCAAAATGTTTGGTAATCGCACTTAATTGAACCCAGTCAAACCTAATCAAATAATTGATATAGATTAGTTTGATGCTCAGGCACAATTGAACCCAACAATTTGTATATGATTTCGATTGCATTTGATTTTCCGAACTAATGGAACCTTATTGAATGCAATTGAACACACTCAGATATTTGAACAGTCTGTCTTAGTAACAGCTACAAATTACATAATCAACCAGTAATGCCTCTATTGAAATAACCTTAGGGCATAGAAAATACATTGATTTATAACAAATCATCATAGTTCAGGACTAGCTCTCCTCTGGATGAATAGGGCCATTGACTTGTCTCTTCCAATCTGCTCTGTCTCTTGCAATGGTGACAATTTCATTCCAAGTGGCAAAAGCCCAGGTTAGGGGAATGTGTGTGTTCTGGTGGTCCATAGGGAATATGTGCCCTATCCAGTGTCACCTTTATCTCCTAATCTGCTCACTGATGGTACAAGTCCTAGCTCTTTGCCTTCATGTACTGTACCCCTATTTCCAGTCGAACAGAATTTGACTGACCATAAATTCAAACTCGACTGTTGTTTTGCAATCACCTGAACGCAGGTCGAACTCAATCAAAACCAATGAAATACAATCAAACACTT